AACCGCGGTCCCTGTGCTTTGCTAAGCTTGTTCTAAATAGGTACTTTAGACCACTGAGCCATCTCACCAGCCCTCAGCTTCCTCATTTATGAACAGGACAATAATAGTTTCTAACTCTGTTAACACAGTGAAAGGACTTTGGAGAGTGCCTAGAAGTTAGTACCTGTTATGTAACTACTGTCTACTGTTGCTAGCATCATTATGGTCTTCTTTGATCCTCCCAGTAGCCTTAATGCCAGCTAAGGAGGTAGGCTCAGAATAGAGCAGTGACTTGTCTAAGAGATGGCCTCAGACCTGGACCCCAAGGTCCCATCCATACTGCCGGCCTTGCCTGGCTCCCCACTCACTCTTCAGCTTGGATGGAGTCCACAGGGGCCACGTAGTTGCTGGGAACATAACCAGTTTGTCCAGAGCTGAGGGACCGCGCCTCCCACCAGTCACCTTCACTGTAGGCACAGAACAGAGGAGTAGTTAGTAGCAGCTCAAGTCCTTAGGACACCCTGGATTCAGGCAGGGCCACACAAAGCCCCTCTAAAGAGCCGGCCAGATAGCTCAGCGGATTAAAGCAGGAGCAGGGACTGGGGGTTCCCTGGCCTGCTCTGCCCTCAGGGCGCACTGAGACAGCAACTGAGTCTGGGTGTGGTAGCATCCAGCATTTGGGAGGCTGTGAACAGGCGGATCACTATGAGTCTGATCTAATAGTGAGGCCCTAAACACCCTCTACACCTTTCCCTAAAATACAAAAAAAAAAAAAAAGCCCCTCTACCTTAGGTATCACCTAAAGGAGACTTTTGTCTGCTCAACCTCCAGCCTCTGCAGCTGCCCCGGGAGGTCTTTACCTTGAAGAAGGAACTAATTTGAGGACATCTTGACCTCCTGGCTGCTTTGCTCCTCAGCTGAGCTGGAGTTTAGGGATGGAGAAGACCTCTGACTTCTCCACTGAAAACCCCACCAAGAACTACAGCTTTCTTTCTGGATAAAATTCAGTATCCTCAGCATGGCTTTAAAAACTGCACAAAGCTGCCCGCGGTGGCTCACACTGTTAATCCCAGCACTTGGGAGGCTGAGGCAGGAGGATCGTTGAGAGTTTGAGACCAGCCTGGGCTACAAAGTAAGCTCAAGGCCAGCCTGAGCTGCATAGTAACATCTTTTCTGGAAAAGAAAACAACAACAAAAGAAAACCTGCACTGAGCTCGCCCCACATCTCTCCTGCTTCTGCTCCTTCCATTCTGCAGGTCGCCTTCCCCTCCTTTGGTGCTAGGGACCAACCCCAGGGCCTGGCATATGCTAGGCAAGTGCTGTACCACTGAGCTGTGGCCCCAGGCCTGCGTCTCATTCTTTGTGATCCGCCTAGAGGGAACCACATGGTGGATTGCAGAGGGCATTATTTATTTTCATTCTCTTGTTGCCTTTTCACACCTCTTCCTTTATATCTACTCATTTTTCTGTCTCAGATTAAAAAACACCTTCTCCAGGAAACCTTCTCCAAATACCTCCACTCTGGAGACCATGTTTGCTGTTCTTTCTGTGCCCATAATTCCTTTTTTTTTTTTTT